AATGCTTAGTTGTGTTACCTGGTTGTGTAATTATGTAATTCCATATTGTCCTGCTATTTTTATTTTGGGTAAGAACAAAACCACTGAGGGTCAAATTGTATGTTCCAAGGAAACAGCATTGGGAATCAACAGCTATGGATGATAGTTTTCCTGGAATCTGTCATTCASCAGCTGACTAAGCTTAGGTACCCTGTTGACCTCACTTTCTATATTTGTACATGAAAAATTTATGCAAAACTAACACTGACTGTCTGCTCTTATCAATCTTCACAATAGTACTACTCTTTTTATAGGCAAAGAAACTAAATCTCAGAAAGTTATGCAACTTGCCCAAGGACACAATGCTAATGAAGGATTAATGCTGACATTACAAACTTTTGTTGTTGTTGTTGTTGCTGCTGCTACTGAAAGATCTGTCAAGARGAGGAAAAGTTTATTTTGGCTCATGATTTCAGAGGTTCTGTCCATGGTGAGCTGACCCTGTAGCTCTGGTCCCAGAGATGAGGCAGATGAGGCAGAACCTCATGGAGGAAGCCTTTGGAGGTGGAAAGCAGCTCAGTACATGGTAACAGAGAGAGCTCTACTCACCAAGAACAAACCATACCTACCTACAGTTTCCCAGTTAATCTGTATTAATGGATGAATCTTTCGAGGAGCTAAACCTCTCATAATCTAATCATTTTACCTCTGAAAATTCTTTCATTGTCTCATATCTTAGGGGACATCACATCTGTAAACCATAATACAAACCATCTAGATATAAAGTCTGTGTGTTTTAGTCCATGAATTTATAATTCTCTGAATTACTTATATTATACATGGAGAGTTTCTGTCCTGATCATCTCTCTCTGCTTTTTTATACMGCCCCCATTTTAGTGTTTGAAAATTTTTCTGAAAATCTAAAACTGATTTTAACTGATCCCATTTTTCACAATTGTTTCTTAACAAATTTCTCTAAATTTTGAGTTTTCTGTATTTCATGACAGATTTTAAGATAAATGAACTGCATACATTCTTTCAGACTGGCTGTAGTCTATTCCTATCCACATATAATTGTTAAAATTATTGAAAAACAGTGTCCCCATACCTCTCAATATTAAACTCTTCACCATCACATTTTACACTTGGTTTCTAATCTATATTATATACTTCCAGGTGTTTATCAGGTTTCATCAGAAGTCTCTCTGTCCATGGATTTCTTTATAGAAATAAAATATTTAAAATAAAAACTGTACCTTATGAGTCATTTCCTGCTAATGTGTCTTATTCTTTTTGTAAACCATATAAATTTGTAGTGTCTTTGTTTATCACCTAAACCAATGATAGTTTATCCCTTTCAAAATATAATTCCATTACTATCTTACATTTTCTTTTAGATTTTGAGTTTCAACTATGTAAAAACGTATTCATGCTTAGAGATTTCTTTTGTAGTAGAAATAAAGTTAAAATGCTGGAAGGTCAAGTCAGCTACAATCAAAAGCAGCTGCAATGCTTTAGTAATATATACATTAATTTCCCCAGAGATTAAAAATGCCTAATAGTTATAAATGAAGTAGTTAGTTCCTTTAGAATCAGGGAAATAATAAGAAACCATTTTAATTATTTTTAAAAATTCAGCCTTCAGCATTCTCATTTTATTACTTCCAATGACTTAGCTTCCTTTGGGAGGTAATATCCTAGGCAAATCTTATGGAAACTACATCTGGGCTTCATCTTGTTCCTCCATAGTTTGAATCCAAGGATTATGGAATTTATAAATTGACCTTGACATAATTTGATAAAATTAGCATATTATGATTAACCTTTTCTTTGTTCTACAGGTTTGACATCTGTCTTATAAACCTTTACAAGTCATCCTTGGTCTAAGAAGTGGGGAAGGTGGGGGTAGGAATGGAATGAGGTAGAATATGCTCACCTGTAGCATAAAACTGAAATTGTATTATTAGGTTCTGTGTATGCTAAACCAAAGAGTTAGACTCAACATTAGCTCCCCAACTTTATATTCATCTGACAGTACTGGAATACAACAATTGATAATTTTTATCCATTAAAATAAATAAAACTTGATGTGAAAATATTACTTGAAAGAAAGGTTTAGACTTTTTGCATCAATAGTACATAATGGTAAAATTTTCTAATAGTTGTCACATTTTAAGTTTTTTTAAAGWTTTTTTTAGTTGTAGATGAACACAATACTTTCATTTTGTTTGTTTATTTTTATGTGGTGCTGAGAATCAAACCCAGTGCCTCACACGTGCGAGGCAAGCACTGTACAGGTGAGCCACAACCCCAGCCCTGACACATTTTAGTTTTTAAAAATTGATTTATTAAAAATATGTTGAACAACAATGTATAACTATAAGCTCTTTCAGAGAAATTAATGTATTTCTAGGTTTAGAAGATCTGAAACCCAAATATGTTCTCTTCTCCAGAAGAAATGATTATCAGCTTAGTATACATCCTCTAGACCTTTGTTTACACACACACACACACACACACACACACAATGTATAGTGTAATTTTATGTATATTTTACATAAATAGTATCATAGTATATATTGTTGATTATCTTTCAAGAAAGTTTTTCAAGTGTTTCCCATCTAACAACTCTAGTTAAAAATAGTTCCATGCTACCATTTCTATTTCAAGCAAACTGTGAAAAAAAATGACATTTTTTTCTTGACCTTTGTTATTTTGCTCATTATCTCCCTCATCCTTCTTCATTTCCAATTCTTCCTCTCTTCCATACACACTGAGTGCCTCTTCTATCCTTCTTCACTTTAAATTTAAAACAACTTGCATTAATCCTTGGCACTTCTAATAACCAGTGAGACAGTGGTGAACATATTTTGAGGAACATGAGGCCTCTTCTGTGTCCTTGAGTTCCACTTATTAAAGGGTTCCTGCTCAATCTGTGAGGCCATGAAGCCAGCTCTGCCAAGGAATATTGTGAAAGCAAAAAGTATAGGTTTATGATATACCTTACATTTGATTATGAAATAGCTTCTCTGAGTTCTAATGTATAAATTGAAATTATGGGCTTCTCTGTTGAGCCAGGAGCAAAGTTAAGCAAGAGTTAAGAGTTCTCCACATTTCCAGGTGAAAAAGAGACAAGCTATTTACTCTGAAAACATATACAAAATCATGCACTATTAGTGCTGCTGTTATGTGGTGGTGATGGCTATAATACAGATACAGAGCCCACAGGCTCTAAAACTATCAGAAACTGCTGCAGGATGGAAGAGACCACTGTATCTCACAGCACATCCACAACCTAGAGAAGAAACTGCTGGGTCCCTTCCAGGTTTTGGGCTCCTCTGTGGTAATTTTGGATTCCAGCATGAAACATTTGACAGCTAACAACATGGACCTTTGTAGTTTTTAGATTCATCATCCTGATGCAGCTTTCTGACTTAAAGAATATATATGTACTTATTAAGAACCAGGCATGATGGTAGCCATTTTGTAYACTTTGTGCTTAATAGTCCTGTCAAATTTAATTAAGTAAATATTAGAATATGCATTCTATGGGTGAGGCAATTGAAGTTTAGTGCTGCCTAAAGTGGTTGTTTCATAATTGATACTGAGATGGACTTAACTCCAAAAGTCCATATATTCCACTACACCCTGCAGCTCTTTTTCATGACTATGTGTTTAATCAATATTGCATAGGTTATTTTATAAGCAGTTTTATATAGTATTGTGGATTTTCAGTCTTAGTATCATTGTTTTGAAAGTTTAAAACACAAGCCATAGAGTGTTCATAATTAGGTATACTTTGCAAACACAATTTGCCATTTTAGAAATTCTGCCAGTCAAAACTCACTTAAACACTTGTAGATAGAAATTTTCTTTTCATTGAATTATCTACTAGCTCGCATGACCAATATCAATAAGTACTTGAATAATCAAATCTGTTCACTGATTAAACTTGTTTCTTACTCTCAAATTTTAAAGTAGTAAAAATCCTGAGTTCTTTGAGGGATTGCATGAAGCATTTTTATGGGTAAAAACACACTATCAAAGGTTGTTTATTTGTTTAATATAAAATATATTCTCATGGTTTGGCTTTATAGTATTTTTATTGTTGCAAAATTAATTGTTATTACCTCAAGTAATTTTCCTATTAAGATATTTGTATGAGATGACATTTGTGTATATCTTTTATATTGCATTAAATGAAAACACAGGGATCCCAGAATGACCTGTTTTTGTGTTTATATTCTTAATCAATGTACTGATACTTGAATTCATTGAAGCAAAATTTGTTATTAAGAGATAAGATTAACTTTGGTATTTTATATCTTGTTCCAATTCTAAGCATTTTGTTACAGGAATTTAACAAGCATCTTAATTACATTATACATATTTATGTTTAGAAAACTAAATAAACAAAAATTCGGGAGAGTTTATTTGAAAATTAAGTTTTTTGAATTTTGACTGCTGAATAACATTTAAGCATGTACACSATGTGAGATACTTAGGTTATTTAATGTGATTCATATTATTCATAGTGGAGCCATGTTAGTGATTTGGGGGAATTCTATTTTAACCATTGTGGGAGATATACCATTTAGATTTCAAGACTTTATGTATGTGCTTGATTTATCTGCCAGAACTATCCTGTGGGTWTTTGTGAAGTGGTTTAGGGTTAGCAGTTGATATGTACTTGTGGCTGATATTTCAGAAATATAGATAATTTCTGTGTGTATGAATTTCTTGGATTAAAAGAATTATCAAAGCAATGTTATAAGCTGATTAGCCTACTCAGTGATTCAAATTTATAGAATTAAGTCACTGGCAGTATCATTAAATCTATTATCACTTTCATAGTTGTTTTGCATGTTTCTCTTATTTATCCACTTGACTGCTAGATAATTGTCATTTATTTATATAATTTCACCYATAAATGTTGTTCTAATGGATGGGGCATTTTCAAAATAGGATAAATTCTTTTATGTCTAAAAACTTAACAATGACATTTTCATTATGTTTTATAGAGCATCAGAGCATCGGGCCTTATCCTGTTGGAAACAATCCTTTTTGGGTCTCTGCTTCTATACTTTCCTGTAAGTAACAATTATATTTTAAAAGTAGCCATTTTTTTCTTGTGCTGGTATTTTATGTATGTGTATTAGTCAGCTTTTCATTGTGGTGACCAAAACACCTAATAAGAATGACTTACAGGAAGAAAAAATTACTTGAAGCTCATGATTTCAGAAGTCTCAGTCCATGGTCAGCTGATTCCATTACTCTGGACCCAAGATGAGGCAGAATCTCAGGAGGGAAGAACATGGCAGAGGAAAGCTGTTCAATCATGGCAGCTTGGATGCAGAAGCATGAGCTAGGAAGAGATATGGTCCAAGGGCTAGTGACCTGCTTTCTACATCCATGCCCTACTTACCTACAGTCACAACTCAGTAGTGATTTTTATGAATTAATAATGTACTCAGTAGTACATTATTAATTCATAAAATGGATTAACCCACTGATGAGGTTACAGCTCTCATATTCCAGTCTTTTTACTCCTGAACATTGCTGTAGTGCCTAACATATGAGCTCTTTGGTGAACAATTTTAGATTCAAATTGTAACAATGTGTGTTCACACATGCACACACATACAAATATATATGTATATTGTTTATGTATAAATGTGCATGTATTATACATAAATATGTACAAATATATAATATATAATGCATATATTATACAAAATATATATTTTTGTGCATGTCCACACACATATATACATATTTATATACACATATGCTGTAAATCCCTTATTTATATGCACATACCCATACGTATTACTAAGAGCTTCACAGTTATTTACATCCTGACTTAACATTTGGGTGACCTTAGACAAGTCACTTATCATTTATAAAGCTTAATTTCCTCTCCTAAAATGGAACTACTTATACTTTTATTCCATGTTTGTGAGGAAAATTAAATGTTTAAGTAAGATAATATATGAAAGGCATATTTTGTATAAGTAAGACTTAATATATACCATAAGTTCCAGGCATGATGGTGCATGCCTGTAATCCCAGCAGCTTGGAAGACTGAGGTAGGAGGATCAGGAGTTCAAAGCCAGCTTTAATGCCCTAAGCAACTTAGTGAKACCCTGTCTCTAAATAAAATACAAAAAAGGGCTGGGGATGTCTCTCAGTGGTTGAGTGCCCCTCCGTTCTACCCCTGGTACCAAAAAAGAAACCACTCCTCCTAACACACACACACACACACACACACACACACACACTCTCACACACTAAGTATTCATTTCCTTCTTCCTCCCCCTTTTACCTAAATCAACACTTTAAAACTCACCAACTAGTTAATGTTAGAAAATTCCCTATGGAAAAACAAGTATAAAAATTTAATGAACATAATGAAATAAATGTGTGTTAATAGTGCTTTAGGTATCATAGTAGACTAATTTTATCACAGCAGTACCTTCTTTACAGTTATAAGGTAAGTACTGATTTTACTAATTCAGTTTAACCAACTCGTGTTCAGCAGTTACTGTTTGCTAAGCACTGTGATAATTTCTGGGAATATTCTTTGAGCAAGATAAACTTKATTTCTTCTTTCAAAAAGCTTACAATTTACAGGCAGAAATGAGTCAGTACAATTATAATACAATGTGACAAATTTTAAGAGTCATAGCTGAATTCTGAAGAGGCACTTAGGAAAGACATCTAACCAAGTCTAGGAATTAAGACATCAGTTGAGGGTCAGAGATCTGAAATAAGAGTAGGTATAGAGGAGATGATAAGGCTGCCAGGACATCACGTTCTTCTTCCACTTACTTCACTTGCTCCTCCATGTTGGCCTTCTTTGTTGATTATTATCTTCTTTCCTACCTCAATACTTGAGTGCCTCAGGACTCTATCCTTATAGTTTTATTAATTTTCTTTCATTTGATAATCTTATCTAACTTCAGAAAACAGGGAAGGAGGCTTACCAAACAAATTCTCCTTTTAGGAACATTARGATATTTTATCCTGCTGACTTCATGTTTAATTAGCTACATATTTCATCTTTTCCAAAATAAACTCTTTTTGTAACTTCTTAAGATACTAATGGATAGCTTCCAAGTGTATACTTATATCCTTGTTTATAATTAAGTTAGTATTCATGCTCTGAAGACAGAAGGGATCAAATTATTTAAGAAAGATTTGGATATAGCATAAAATATGGGTCAAGGAGATGAGAGATTAAATGTAGTATTGATTGAGTCTGAAAAAGGAGAATGATTTTATTTTACATGAGATACAGGGAATGCTGTTTTGGTAATTGACATTGAAGTCTTCGGCTACATGCATGGATGTACTTATAGAAAGCATTGTTGACAAGACTAATCTGGTCATTGGATCAGGATACACTATCTTCCCTGGATTTGCAGAAAAGAAGTTCACACCTTATGGCTAGAGTGTTGCTGTAAGAAAGAGTATTTAATTAAATGTGGARGGTGATCAAGTAAACCAAATACAAGTCGAGTATCCCTGAAACCAGAAGTGTTTCAGATTTCAGAGATTTTGATCTTGGAATATTTGGATAGGCTTTACCAGTTTAACATCTATAATCTGAAAATACAGAACCTAAAATGCTCTGAAATCCAAAATTAATTTCAAAACATTTCAGATTTCAGATTTTTGGATTAGAGTTGCTCAACCTGAATCACCAAAAGGCCTAATCTTTTGGTCATATAAATGTGACCAATATCTTTTTTATTTGTTAAAAATCTTATTGATTTTCTGAGTTTCTATTGTGGATAATCACAGAATTTTTCATGAAGGTCTTACTGAGGGGATTACAGTTTTTTTAAAATAAAGCATAATTGAGTAAAATAGATTTTTTATTTAGGGCTGGGTAACTCCATGGAAGGAGGCTTGGAGGATATTCACTGTTCYACTGTTATGCAATGAACTATTTATTCTTTTTATGCTGCATATTGTTGTTCAGATTTGCAAGAATTAAGGTTATTTTTGCCTTTTCTAAGCAATCTTAGACTACAGACGATTTCATAACAGTTCTTATATTGGAAAGTCCAAATTAGAGATTATCATCATTGTGTAGATGAGGACAAACCAAAATCTGACTAAATTTAGCATTGTTATAATTGGTAGCAGAAAGCTGAAGCATTTAAAATGTTTTCTTACAGATTCTCAAAAGAGTCTCATGATTCACAGTCCACAAATTTATGGACTAGTGGTTAATATTCACAATCACCTAAAAACTTCTGCATAATTTATAAAAAAAGAAAAAAGAACTTTAAAAAGTGTATGTTTTTAATAAAATTATATAAAAGACTTTTTATGGATTAATGAAACAATTATCAACAATTATCGGTATCATAATTATTGGCAGCATTGCCTATTTGGTTGATTGATGTGYTTATCTATAAAGGACATCAATAACTCACAATGGAAGCAAATTTATCTTAGAACTGAATGGCAACAATACCAGATTGCTCCCCAACCGAGGCACTATTAAAAAAAAAAAAAACCCTGCAAAATATTAGAACTAGAAGGGACATATAACACAGTGGTCTTTTTTCAACCTCTATATTTTRCAAATGAAAGAAGAGAGGCTAAAAGAAGTTACCATCCATCCAACTTTTCTCAGTTAGGTAATGAGAGAGCCAAGAATRGAATCTAGTCTCTTAATTCCTGATCTTCCTCTGTCTTCACTGTGGTCATACCTTGCACAGAGAGTATTGATTCAAATGGCATCAAACAGAGAACCAGGAAGCCCTATGTTCTGCCCCGTGGTGGGTCACCATTGCCCATGAGGTCTCCAAGGAAATGAGAAGTATAGAGGACAAAGCAGGGGAATTTATAATAACTCAAAGTAGCCCTAAGACCCGATGTAAAATTCATATAAGCTTGGATGAACCATGTTGTTGAACTATCTGAAGTTTTCAATGTTCAACTATTTTACCTATAAAAATTGTTTCAACCTATTATCAACTTGGTTTCAGGAGCATGAAACTTAAGTCAKTCAAGATACCATCTTTTTTCTATGATGACCCCAAAGCCTAAAACTAAAACTTGGATTTTAAAAAAAAAACAACTCCAGTATAGAGAAAGCCCATCCAGAGGAGAATATATCATCCAGATGCAAAGGAAAAATGTGAGGATATTGTTCCCAGACATAGAGCTTAGAAAAGAAAGGACAGGAAATTGATAGCTCATAAGGAGAACAAGATAATGAGACCATGATAATGTAGTTAAATGAGAACATATTTAACAGCTAAATGTTTAATCCATTCCTATTATTGTTTTGATATTTAAATTATCCAAATTTGGCCAATGATAGCCCATTTAAACTGCATCCTGAATCTTTTTCATATGATCCCACCATTCTTTGAGCATTTTCCCACCTCCTAGTGCAATGAGATTTCCAGACTCATTTTATCCTTTCCTTCTCCCAGTCTTAGAGTCAGCCTTTTCTCCATGAAGCCCTGTTTCTTGTTAAAGAAAAATGGTAGCCATTCTGTTCTGAGATTGATGATCATAGAGTAGGAAGTTCCTACTTTTATAGGTGGGTTTTTAAGCTGATGTAGAATACATCTAGCTTGGTGCCTTTTAGCAGTGTTTAGATCAATGCTGAGCAAAACAAAAAAAGAAATTGGAAAGTTAAATAACTTAATGAGCATAACAATGCTGTTGTGAACACAATTGTATGAGATAGTTGTTTTCTGACAAGATAGTGTGAAAAGTGTCAGAATAAGAGAGTCTTAATTCCCAAATTGCTAGAGAAGTTCAGCAATACCAGATAAAACATTGGAAACAGAGTACATCCGAGATCTAGTCCACCTCCTTCAAGTGAGTTTGAAGAGTGTTATTTTAAGACACTTTCTGGTTATTGTATATCTTTGTCCTTTTTCTATCTTGTTTCGTGTTTTTTCCTCAAGTCTTTATTCCATGACGTTTAGAGTATTTTCAGTTGTGTTAATTCTGCTTGAGTTGATTCTGATATTCTTAAAATCTTATTAATGTTTTTATTTATTTTCATTTTCTCTTATTGGCACAATTTTTTCTCTTTCTCTTTTTCTAATCTTTA